CACCATCTGCTTTTCAGCTTCATTCTTCTACCAAAGCCATTTTTCCTCGCAGTCACCAATAGCCTCTGAATTGTCAAAATTCAATGAGAACTTTTCACCTTTAGCTCCCACCATCATTCTTCTGCATCTGAAATGCTTATCCTCATTCCTGAATACCTATCTCTTTATTCTTCTCCAAACCTTCAGGGTTCCTTCTGTATGTCAGTCTCTTTTACTCAAGCAAGGAACTAGGAAGACCTCTCTCTGGTGGGTTGACTCACCTTCTGCATCCAGTTAACAAATCCTACAAAATCATCCCTTCTTTCTGTTGTCACAGGTCAGGTTCTTATCTTTCTTCTTTCCCTAAACCGTGATACTTTGTAACTTTGGACATAGGATTCAATATTTTGGGGTCTCGGTTTCCTCTCCCATAAAATCAGGTTAATAGTATCTACCACCAAAGGGTTGAAGATTCATGTAAAGATTTAATAAGTTAGAATACATAAAATACTTTGAACCATGCCTGGCTTAGTTTAAGGGTACAATGAAGCTTCACTGCTATTATTACATACCCTTGAGATAGCACTAATCACATTATATTATAAATGCTTGTGAGAGTTATCCACCACCACCACCCCAGACTGTAGGAGATCATGCTTCATGCATCACTGCATTTTCCGGCTAGAGCACAGTGTTTGGCTTATAGCGGGCATGTTATAGCTACTGAATGAGTGAATTAATATTTGCATTCTTTACAATATCTGGCACATGGCAGGTGCTCACGAAATATGCACTGAATTGAATTTGATAGAATTGAACCGATTGGGAGAGAATACAGAGTAAAAAGTGCCATCATATTAGGTAAAGCATAATGAGTTCATTTTAAAGGGGGAGAAATTTCCTTTGGGACTCCTCCTTGCGTTGAATCTAAACTGACGCATGATTCCACAATCCTAGCAGACTTAGAATTGTTTTAATCTATTTATTTGCTCCCCAGTTTCAGTTTCCATGTCCTGTCAATTCTCTTTGTTATTCTCATAGCGTAGCTTAGGTCACCAACAACCTGGACTCCTGTTATCATCTTTATCAGTAAGCTATTGCTGTATAACAAACACAAAATCTCAGTGACATACAGCAGGAAGCACTTACTTCTCATGTGTCTGTGGGTCAAGTAGCCTGGGGCAGGTTTGACTGGACAGCTGTACTTTAAGCAGAAGGTCTGACTAGACTTGTCTCCTAACTGAGCATGGGCCTCAATCTCTGCCATATGTATTTATTCTGGATCCCAGACTGAAAGGGCAACAGCTACCCAGGGAAATTCTTGTCTTGGCAATAGCAGAAAAGCAGTCAGGTGAGTAGAAATCTACAATGCATCTTAAGACCTCCATCTGGAACTGACACATGGTCATTTTCACTCACACTACATTGTCCAAAGCAAGTCTACAGCCAAGCCCAACATCAGTGAAATGGGAGAAATAAATGTTGCACACTGTAGTGAGTTTTACCACACAGTCACATGGCAAAAGAGGTGAATGTACATATCTAACTCAGAGAAGATGAGAAGAATCGTGAACAATGATTAAATTTACCACAACTCTATCCTGATTCTGGTCTCCATAACACCTTCATAGGTGATCACATTAGCCTCTTAACTAATCTCCTTGTGTTCAGTCTTCTTCGCAATCTGTGCCTCCATTTGGTTATGAACGTTTGGCCGCAGGGGATAGAATGCACCGTTAAAAATGACTTTTATTTCCCACTAAATAAGAAATCTAGAAAAAAAATGTTTTAGGTTTAGAACTTCAACAATGTCATTGAGGTCTGGGTTTTTTTGTGACTTTTTTAATCATGTCAGCTTTTGTCTGGAAGCTTGTTGTCTCATGGTGATAAGATTGCTGCAGTAGCTCCAACATCACATGATTGCACAGGATGTTCAAAGCAGGAAGAAAAAAGAAAGAGTGCCTTCATACACACCTCTCTTTTTAGCTGGTTAAAAAAAAAAACAATCTCTTGTAGCTTCCCAAGTCATTTCTCCTTACATTTGACTGATTAGAGCTGTCTAATTACCCAGATCTGCAAGGAAGACAGAAGTCAATAGGGGAACATTTTCAGGCTCTGTCTTATGAATGGACTCTAAGAATGAGAAGTCATGAGGGGAATAGTGTATGTATGAGAAATCATTGGTGTCTGCACACTTTCAAATAATTTAACCTACCTGACTAAAATATTTAAGGCCCTTATAACACATCTTCATCTTCTTTTAAAGCTTAATACATCAAGATTTCTCTAAATAAGAATGAGTGAATGTATCCTTCAGCACATCTCATTCTTCCTGCCATTTTTCCCATCACTGATATGTTTGTATACCTTCCTTCCATCTTCCCTAAATGGCCTTTTGTCCCTTCTCTTACCTCTTCACTTAAATCTTACTTTTCCTTGAGGATTTGTTTCTTCTCTGGGAGGTCTTCCATGGGCACCAAAGGCTGGTCTGATGTCCTGCCACATGCTCAATAAATATTTGTGAAATTGATTTGAATAATAATTTCCTTTAGAAGTTTTTATACTTTATAGCATTTCTTCCAGACTATAATCTCTAGCCAATTTAAATTATTCCATCTGAAGTTGTGGGTTATTTTTCTTAGATAATAATTTATGTCATTTTTTTTTCTCATAGTGGTGGCTGTTTTTGAACAAGTCTTTGTTACTTGACCAAAGATTCAAAGCAAATACACATGATTATTTCCCACTTCTTTACACTCTGTTGATATGTTTGGGATTTATCATCTTTCTGTCTCTTAGATGAAAATGTGCATTTTCATACTGAAATATGTTTGTGCTTTAGCCTTAATTACTTTCCTCCCTGCTAGGTTGTCCTTAACTCAAGCCATCACCTTTTCTAAGAAATGGATGAAAATCATGACTTCCTTCAAGTCTCATCACATTCCATTTTGACTACCCCTTTGTAATATTTCACTTACCAATCTGTTATGCTGCATTTTATTTTTCTCCCCACTTCTACAACAAATATTTTTTTAAAATCATCGAAGACCTCCAATGATGATTAAGACAAGGTCTTTAATAAATATTTATTGAACTTCTGGTATATGCCAAACATTGTCTACTTACTAGGGACCCAGTAAGAAAGGAAATAGGTGTAGTCTTTACTCTTCTTGGTTTTGCATTCTAAGCAGGGGAAAACTAACAAGTAAGAACATCAATCTAATATGCCAGGCAGAGATAAGTGCTCTAAGGAAAGTAAAACAGGAAAGTATCATGGAGAGTTCCTATTGCAGTGCAGCCATTTTTTAGGGGGAAAAAAAAGTGTGTAGGAAAGGCTACAAAAGAGACTTAATGCAATGGAGTTTCATGCAGAGGTCATAATAAGTGCAAAGTCCCTGAGGCAGAAGTGTGCTTGGCATAGACAAGAATCAGTAATGTGGACAGCCAGCAGGCAAGTGATGAGGGGGAGAGAGGGCAGAGGGAGCAAATGAACTCAATTAATTGTTGGAAGGGCAGGTCATATATTACCTTAGAAGTTGCAGTAGGGAACTGGAGTTCATTTTGAGCAAGATGGGAAGCCCTTGAACCTACTAAATATTTGATTCACTCTCAGTAATAAACATCTATGCTGTTTTTAAAAAATCGGGAAATGGATGGTGGTGAAGATTACACAAGAATGTGCTTGGGGCACCTGGGTGGCTCAGTTAGTTAAGCATCTGCCTTTGGCTCAGGTCATGATCTCAGGGTCCTGGGATCAAGTCCCGCATCGGGCTCCCTGATCAGCAGCGAGCCTGCTTCTCCCTCTCCCTCTGCCTGCTGCTCCCCCCTGCTTGTGCTTGCTCTCTCTCTCTCTCTGACAAATAAATAAATAAAGTTTTTAAAAAATTAAAAAAAAAAAAAGAATGCGCTTAATGCCACTGAACTGTCCATGTAAAAATGGTTATAATGGTAAATTGTATGTTATGTATATTTTACTGCAATAAAAAGTATCTATGAGCAAATCCTGTGGGCCAGAGTCTGTGTTAAGCCCTGGTGACCATATGAACACATAGAGCCTGTAGGCACTCCAAATCTGCTTTGAGAAAATACACTCCATCTATTATAAATGTAAATACACAATGCAAGGTAGGATAAAATGTGTTCCCAATGAGAAGACCAGGTTAGGATTTCAGAGTGTGTTCTCAGAAGCCTTAGTCTGGAGGGGTGCTGCTTGAAATAAAAGGATCTTACTCAAATAAGTTTGGGAGGTAGTGCATCCTCCAGCCCTCTGTGGGGATTCCCAGTGCAGAATGGCACACCACAAGCTGTAAGAATACACATGAAAGAAACCTGTTTAACTTTGTTTAACCCAACATTGCTAAACCATTTTGATCATAGGCCTTTTCACCCCAGATTGCCTATTAACATCCCAAGGAACTGGTATTCCAAAGAACTGATATTAAAGGAGACACAACACTGAGATAAGAAGAAAAGAGTTTGTGGAGAAAGTGTGGTCAGAGATGAGCTATAAAGGGAAGGGGACACTTAGATGTCGAGGAAGGGCATTCAAGGCAGAAGAGATGTTAAGAAATCCACTTCAAAGTAAATCTGGAACTTGCTTCTTCAAAGATCATTGACCCACTGAATGAATCTTCTAAATATACTGATAAAATTATAATTTTGGTGATCACTGACAAATTTCTTCTAAAACACTCAAGATACCAATTCATTAAGATTAATTACTTTGTAGAAGTTTTCTTAATTCCTTGTTACTATTTTATAAACAACAAAGTTATGCCCTGTCATCCCAGCCTAATCGATGGTGGAGTGTTAGCTTTCTTTCTCCGGGCCCAGGGTCCTGTTCTGTAAAGGAGGGACTTATGGCCTTTGCATCTCTGCAATAGACCCTTTGGAATTAAAGCAAAAAATCAATTCCTATGCAAGACACAGATTTCAGCATGCAGTGGGTATGGAAACAGAATCAAATTAAAGAACAACGCAATCTTGGATTTTAATGAAGCTCATCTTTGTTTCTTTTGCAGATCAAATTTTTGGCTCTCATCTGCACACAGTGTGTGAACGTGAAAATTCCACAGTTCCACGGTTTGTAAAGCAATGCATTGAAGCTGTCGAAAAAAGAGGTGGGTAACTGAATATGCAGCAATTTCTTCCATTAGCGTACCCTCTAAACAACCAATGCTCAAGTTAACAGTGCTCTTTGATTAGTCTGGGAAGCCATGCAATTAAAACTTGACTTTTGTTAATCGGTTAAGAGGATCAAGTTTCTTATTAACTTCAGTTTGTTTTTACAATAGGGACATCAGTAATTCCCACTAATGTTCTTTTTTTTTTTTTTTAATATTTTGTCTGTCTGACATGTTGTTGATTCAATTGCAAACCTCTTGTTTTCAAGCCAGTGATAAAACATTCATAAAATATCAGTATTCACAGTGTTAGAACCCTCCTAACATTCATGCTGGTAGATGTTGTGCCAGAACAATTTTTGGTAAGCCCCCAACATTACCCAAGTGAAGCAAATAGCATTCCTACTCACAAACAGTGATATCCCGTCTTCCATGTGTTTCTGTTCAATATGGAATATGGCTAACTGGTTCTCCCGGAACAATTAACAGATGCACCTCTAGTGTCAAGACGACCTTTGATTCCTATATTCCAGCATTCTGTTTTTCATCGGAAATTATTTCATCTTAGCACGGGGAACAAAACAAAACCCAATTGACTCATCATTTCTTTGCTGGTCTATCTGTGGGGTGTTTTTCCCTCAGACTGTGACTTCATTCATTCAAGGTCATTTTCCCTGGAAGATACATACAGTAGATGCAGAATCTCAAAAAATGTATAAAAATGTGAAGCTTCATCACCATCTGTTACAAGTTTACAACATATTCCCAGGATCTAGGGGGATATATATCATGTAAAAGATAGAGGTGTTTTCAGAAAAAGAATTGGTGAATCTATTCCCATTTTCAGCTCCCAGTCTCTTAAGACAATAGAACCAAGGGGAAAAAATTCTTTACCAAGTTATCTACTAGGAAAAAGCCATTTTAATTCTCTCAGTGTTACCTGGCTTGATTATAGAAGCATAATAAAAATGGCCTGCAATTTCCAACTCCTGGAAATTCACACTTTAATTATACTGTAAGGACAGCTTTGGGATCCTATTATTCCCATATCAGTAGAGAATGAGAGAACAACAAGAAGGGGACGAGTGGGTAGGGAAAGTAGATAAAGAGAGTGGCTTTGGGGGGAAGCATAGCAACACATCAGAGAGAAGAGCCGAGAGCTCACAGAGGGTAGAAAACAGTAAAAGCAGAATGAACACAAGGAGAGGTATCTGTGAGGAATGGAGTCAATTGGAGTTTAGAGAGAAATGTGTTTTTATTGCATGTTGCAATCTCGTTTAATTTTATAAGTTCATAATTTAGGAATAAATATTATTTAATAAGTACTTAAAGCCAAAATGGATCACTGAGAATGTTATAATGTTATTATTGCCAATAGCTAAATTATCATCATTTTCAGGAAATCTTCATCCACTTAGAAATACTCAGCACCGACAGTGTGAGCACTATTATATTAGAGCAAATATCCGAATAGGACTTTGGGGGAGCTGTACATAATAAGACGTGTGCACATATAATAAAAGGACTCTGTACCTCTCTATTTATGTACATACCCGAGGCAAAATGAAAACTCTGCTAGATACAGCCTGGTGGTGTGCAGATACCATAATACAGTAGAGTAGAAAATATCTATAAATAGAAACTGTATCTTCTGTTCACGGCATTTTGTTGGCGATTTTTAATAAAATAAGACAATGTTTTTGCTGACAGCAGCAATCATATCTGGCATTATATTTCATTGTCCCAATGTTTACTCTTAAAATGAATTTGTAGATCCAGCACTAAACAGGCGCTAATCACACATATGATTATTAAAATGACTCCTAAGCATTTTAATGAAACTCAAAGACTTTATAATTCCACAAAGCAACTGATAATTCAAAGCACTTTGGCAGTGTCAGCTTAAAGGAACTCTATGGAAATATTCAATAAAAACTCAGAGGCACAAGATAAACCTCTCACATCATTGCAAGATTTACAAATGTGTACTTTTGATTATATTTTCCTATGATCATTTTGTTGGATTAATATTCTTATATTTATACGCCAATTCTATTTACTCAAAGTGTTGTTTTTACTAAATTCTGGCAGAAAGCACCTTAGGACAGAAATAATTTATGTGAATCTAAGTCCAATGTTTATGCAGGCTTCTGATGACATTTTATGCCGGGGTTGGTATTAGGAAGTAGCATATAAAGGTGCCAAGTCTCTCAGCACGGCTGGGACTCAGCATATCTAGAGCCCTCCTTCCAATGGCCAGATCCTCCTCCAGCCAAGATACTCAACGGCAGAGTCATGGGAAATGCTTATGGACCAGTTATGGGAAAGGCACATTTAATGAAAATTGTGTGTTTACTCTCACAGTCTTAGGGAAATGGCCTCAAAACTCACAATAGCAGTACACAAGGTGTTATAAAAAGATTTGTTTCCTTTCTTTTTCTCTTAAGATTATTTCCCCCACCTTTACAAAAGAATCATCTATAAATTGTAGCTGTATTTTTGTAATACTTCTCACATGGTTGATTTTGAATGAAACAGTCTCAGGAAGGCAGATCTCACCATTGATTGATTCACTGACTCATTCATTCATTCATTCATTCATTCATTCAGTTATTTGTCTTACTGGCTTGCAATTGACAGAACCAAATTGTTCATGCTCCTGTAGTCTACCAAGGAAAATCTACCCAGTGCTTGGCATAGTTGCATTCTTTAATCAACCCTAGTAAAGTGGTATTAGTCACATTTTAAAAATTTTGCATCTCACAGACATGCCTAGAAGAAAATCTATTAGTGAGCCGAATGTAAACCAATTTAGCGAATAACTTGGTTAGTGTGTTTCCTTATCTTGATTTGGTTTCCTTTATTCCCTTAAGCCACCAGAGCATTCTCCCGCTCACTGACTATTCTAACCAGATTAAAGTTATTTCTGTGGTTTCTGACATTGTCTGCTCAGCCTAGAGAACATACACAAAACTTGGAGGGAAACTGTAAAGGAGCATGTTAGTCTTTAAAGCTCTTCCAAGGGTTTCATTAATGCTTGTATTGCCTTTACAGTTGTAGAGCATGAGTAGAGTTAAGCAGCCAAAGAAAAACTCAGTTTATGTTTTTTCTTCCAAAGCAGTTTCCATGCAAATATCGAATCGTTGTTCAGCTAATGCTCAATACATATGATAAAGTGACCCAAAGCCTGAGGTCATCCGGTACTTTTCTTTGAGGTCCGACAAAACAAGCACGCAGAAGGAGGCGTTGTGACATACTGGTATTATGTAGATGTAAGCAGTGAGAATTCCACTTTTCACTACTTATAGAATACTTCGTGTAGTTTAGGATGACCTCAAAGTGTATAGAAATTGCTTACTTAAAAATACTTAATAGGATGAGCTGTATCACTCAGAAGACAAGGGCTTAGGAGATGTGACTTAAACAAAGTATGTAGTCTACAGTGATGCAATTGGTATTAAGACCTTAACCTGTACTTTTTATGTGAAGCATGTAACTGGCTGATTACTCTGTGAAGGTGCATCCATGGGGAAGAGCCTTACCCAGTACCTGACACACTGTAAGCACTCGGTAAATTTTGGGTGAATGATGTAACACATACTAAGTGTTTATTGTACTCCAGCAACAAGTAGCTCTTTAGTGCCTACCCATGTGTCATTTTTCATGCTACCAGTTGAGAATATAGAGGAAATATACATTAAGCGAAAAGACAATTCGCTGAGTACCAAACTATTATGAGTGTTATGAAAGAAAAGAACAGGTACTAGAAGTGAAAATAAACCGAATAATATTCTTGTTTAAGGTAAGGGGAGTTTGTTTGCTTAAAAATCACATAATAGGGAGTGGGGGAAAAGGAGAGAGATTGGTGAAAGAGCACAAAATTGCAGTTATATAGGCTGAACAAATCTAGATATCTAACGTACAGGCATGGTGACTATAGTTACTCTAAGACAGTAGGTTGCAGGTGCTCTCATCACCCCCACACACAAATTAGTAGATATGGGAGGAGATGATATATTAATTAGCTTGACTGTGGTAATCACAGCAAATCATCATGTATACCTTAAATATATCTAATATACTAAGTATACTATGAAATATTACTTAATACTAAATATACGATTAAATATACTTTAAATGACATAATAAACCCTGAATAATAAACACATATTTGTCTGGCTTCAGCCTTCTGCTGAGAGCAGAAGTTTAATTCATCTTATTTCCCAGGTTATTTTCCTGACGTATCATACCAATGCAATATAAGGAGTAGCTTCATGTGAGATATCCGAAAGACAGTCCTTTCTCCACCCAACAATACCAGACTTTCCCAAAGACTTCTTTCATATATAATGGAGTTAACTAAATGAATAATCATATTTCTATTCTAAATATATTTTTATGTATCTAGTATATGTTTGTCTATAAGGGAATAAGACCGTTTAAAAAGGCCAATTTTGTTTGGACAGGAATTCATCCTTTGGAATATGGTTTAACAACACATTCTTCCTCCATGAGCCTCAGTCCTAGTCAGTATGCCCCCAGACAACTTACCAGCATTAAAATGACACTTGGAGATCGGTCGCAAATGATGTGAATGTACTTAACACTACCTAACTGTGCATTTAAAAATGGCTAAGATGGTAAACTTTATATTATGTGGGGGGGTGGTTAACCACAATTAAAAACAAATGGTACCATTTGATGATTCCAGCTATAAGCTACTCTCGGCCGATGCTAATCACCAAGTTTGTCCTCTGTCTTTATTCTGGAACACAAAATACTATGACAAGAATGATACACAAAGTTACATTTTTGACTTGGTGCCCAAAATCCACCCTGGGATACATAACCTTGCTTTAAAGATTTAAGAAAGACCTTTAGTCTACTTCTGAGAAGGTCCTCAGCCTCGAAAACTTTATCTCTCAACTTGACTTCTTAGCAGCTGTTATATTTTTTTTGCTGTCATTTGTTTGACAGGATCCAGTTATAGGTTCCGA